GGTTTTGTGTGTGTGGTAGATGAGTGGGTCCTTTTTTTACATCAGAAAAGCATAGTCTGAAGCCACTTAGCATTACGTTAAACTGTATTGTTAATATGAGCCTACAGAAGAGGTGGAGATCTAAAGAAAGCAAGAAGTTGGTGGGAGAGGGCTTAGAAAGCATAAATTCATTTTTCTAATGGACAGGGAGAGAAAGATAACAGACACAGCTGGAGAAAGGCTGATAATGTGATAGAAGGAAAAATAATATTTGCAGCAGAATAAGGAACTGAGGTATGAAATTTTGACTGATGGACAAAGAGAACAAAATTTGTTGTGGAGAAGTATGCATAGTTAAGAAAAAAACTGATTGAAAGTGCAGCAGGATGGGAAAATTTTGAGGGCAGGTCAAATGCAAAGGGTCTCCTTCAACACAAACAGACATTTGAGGAAAAATAAAAGATAGGCCTGAGAATTCATGGGAATGAGCAAGGTGAGACGATCTATGAGAAAATGATGGAGCTGATTTCAGAAGCAGCTGGAAGGATGGCATGTAGAAATTGGAAATTATTGGAAGAAAGCAAAAAAAATACAAGCTGAGGCAACTACTAGTAAATAATAAAGAAATGGAAAAGACAAAAAAATAGCAACACGAGAGAGGGAAAATTTGATTATGCTTCCTGTTCTTATCAGGATAGCTTTGGGACAAAAGCACAAAACAATTTGTGAGTGATTTGGGAAAAGGAAGACATGACAGGGACACCACAAGAAAAGAATGGTCAATGGGGAAGACAGTGCAGAACTAGAACATTTTTAGGTGATTTTAGATAATGTGTAAAGGGAGGGGTGCTTAAATGGAATGAAGATGAATGGACAGGAATTGGGAGGGAAACCACTCAGAGACAGAAGATTGGAAATATGGGATTTATAGAGGAAAAGAAAAAATAATAATGTAGGTAGGCAAATACATGCTAAGTAACCAGATGGGGAAGAAAAAAATCAGTGGAAATAAGAAAGTAAAAGCGGCAGTTAATGTCATTGTTCTAGTGCTTAGTAAGAGGTCTGGTAACAAAACAGCATATAAAAGTTAAACATTATCTTTGTTATGGTACCTTTTTGTGTGGGATGAGGGGGTCTTGGGAAACCGGATTGGGAGCTAGGCATAGGCATCTAGTGAACCTACAATATGTATGGAGAAGAGGATAATCTGCTTTATTATTATTTTAAACAGAAGCAAAGAAAACATTTAAAACTACTGTCTACACCAGTTCCTAATAACTTAGTATCTGTTTTTACCTCTTAAAAAATATGTAAGTATATCTGAGACCCATAATTGAATTACTTATTATGATTACTTCTTAACATTTTATGTATATTCCAGCAAACTGTCATCTACTCAACATTTAAAAAATTCAAACCCAACCCTAGAATACCCTATATGGCTTCTTTCTATAGTCTCATATTCAATTTTCTTTTTATTAGTGCTCCCATCTTACAAAAGACTTTACATGAACTAAAAGTGAATCTAAATGAGTGCTACATGATAAAAAATAGAACAGAACATACCCCTCGTATTGACAAATGCAATTATCTTCTATGTTTAAATTAGTCCTATTCCTTACTCTCAAAAGCAATACTTAAAAACAGCAACATTAAATATAACTTCAAGTCGACAAGTATCAATTTATTAATAATAAATAGTAGGCAAAATAGTTTTCATTATGATTTTCTCACATAATATTTTCTTAAATGCTTGAAGTACACTTTGTATTTCAATTATTTCACTTCTCTACAGAGCGCTGCAGCTTTCCCACCTTTGCTTAGTTATAGAACTGCACAGCATGCTCAATACAGCAAACTGAAAAATTATTGTGGATAAAAAGACTATTACGCCAGGCATGCTTTGGTACTGAGACACAAATATGTTTTTGAGAGGAATAAGAAAGGCATAAATATTTTCCTAGTAAATATTTTTTCCCAGAACCTGAAAGATGCAAGAGACAATATTATATTACTTATTATGGAATATATTATATATGGGATGGTATTATATATGTGTAAATAATATTTCTTCTATAGTGCATCCTAGAGTATAAAAAATATAATTTACAGATCGAATGTAAGGACAAAATTGAAATTTTGCATAATTGTGAGGATATGGTCTTTGTTGCTCCAAACAAAATCCACTGGAAAGCTTTTGTAGAGTTTTGCAGCTAAAGGACCCCAACTGTACTGAGCATGCTTTATCCCAGTGCTGCAGGAATGAAACGGTTCTTTTCCAGCAATTCTTTCTCCTCACTCCTGCCAACAATTCCCATACTAAATATTGAAATAAGAACAGAATGCTCTCAGTGCTTCCCTCCCTGATATCCAGGCAGATACACAAGAAGCAACAGAAATGTACTGAATGCAGTAGGGAACATCAGCTTGATAGGGAGACAGGGGAAGCAGAGGCTACACACAAAAACGTGGTTTGCAACAGGGAAGGCTAGTAACAGGGAATGTCAGTGCAGCTCTTGAAATGACTGGACAAGAGGAGGAGGAACCCGGATGGGACAGACAGAGCCAGGGGGCTGGGGATCACTGAGAGAGAAAGAGCTTGTAATTAAAGAAATAATCAGGGTGGCATGAAACTGAGTTTAGAAGAGTGTCAAGTTAGGAAACAAGAGGCACAATGTAATGTAGAGCAAGGAAAAGAGTGAGATTAGCCACTGACAAAAAACTAAGAGGAACAGGGACAGAGACATGGGGATACATAGTAAGGGGGACACAGAGAAAAGGGAGTTTACGGGTGAAAGGAAATCCTCCTTCCAATACTGGAAGTGAACACAGAGTCCTGACACTTGGCATGACTTGTCGGCTGTTAACTGTTTCTTGGAGTATTTCTGAAGCCTGTGACCCTTTAATGGCTGGTCTACAATGACAATAAGCTCCTACAGTTATATTCATGTTGTAGGGTTACACACTGTGGTAGATCTAAAAGTTCTGAATTGTTGTAAGACTCTTAAGCTGAATATATTAAACTAGGATAACTCTATTTCTTGCTTCTTTCCTTTTTCTTAAAAACCCTCTGGTTTAGTTATATGTTAAGACTGCAAAGTAGAGATGGGAAATGTCAGAATTAAGGTTGCCTTTGCAATATGATTCAATATCACAATTAGAATATATCATGGTCCATTCTTGAATTAAACAATCATCTGTGGATTTTAGTTTTGTTTTTAAGGTATACCTCCTTGGACGGATGAATCAAGGAAAAATCATCCTTTCTGACAATGTTTCCTGTAAATCTTTGATTTCATTTATTGCAAAAATGGAAATACATGAAATGAGCAATAGTAGACACAGGATAGCTGGGAAAGAATGCATAATCATTGTTCAAAAGCTGAAATGCTGTTCCTATGTAGTTTGGGATAAGTCCTTTAGAATACATACGTTCAAAATTGTGTTGCTCATATTATAAATATCTAGTTAATATCTCAGCCTATAAGCAAAACTGAAGTCAACAGAACAGTGCTTTGACTACACTGAATACATTTGCCAAAAATGCAAATTATCCTGAAAAATTAGAGCCTTCATACTTGAAAGTTAAGCAATATGTCATCTTAATCTGTCTGTGACTCTTGTTTCCCAGCTATCAAATTGGAATACTCCAAACTTCACTTCCTTGCAGGAATTCTCTGAAGATGAAGTAGTTAATATCTGCAATGAGGACAAGTTCTGCCATGACTGGTGTAGCAGCATGGCCTCCCAAGAAATTAGAAGTCTGTCTTAGCACCAAAAAAAATAATGAAATGTCTGGATTATAACAAAATGACATAATGACTGAATTCTTACCAAATTATTATGTCAAATGGTGCTTTCAATAACGTATAAATTTTATGGGAAGGAAGGCAAGATTCTGTAATAACAAACCTCTTAACATGTACCCACTTCCCAGGCAACATTTAATCTGGCATATTCCAACTTCTGTGTTACGGACTTTGCAGACAGCTTGTCATGTGTTTGTCTTTCACAGGAACTTACTGCCTCTTTAGTATTTGTTTGTATGCTCAATCCATTAAAAGCTTCCTGACTTTTCTATTCTGTTGTTTCAGTCTCCTTTTGGCACACCAGTAACAACCCCTTAGATGTTAGAAAATGTGATTAAATAACACACAGAAGATGTCAAATGATACCGTTAGGATGATTGACTTCGAAATGCAAAATAAAGGCAATTGAGAGTGATTACTGGAGCTAATCATTTTAGGCTTGCCTGTGAAAAATGCACCTTCATTTACAATTGAAAACAATTTCTATTTTTATTGTTTACTATTTGCGTAGGCACATTTAGCCTGTTGACAAGAATAGACATTATAATATAAATACTATCTTTAAAATTTGCTTTTTTACTAATATCTTGATGTTTGCAATATATATACATTTAGATTCAAGGGGGATGTAATATGGTTCCCTTTAGTATTTCATGTATAAATTTACTCAGCAGATTTGTTTTATTAAAATGTAAATAATGAGATGTGGTAAATGAAAAATCCAAGATGGGAATAAACAGCTTATTTATTGTTAATGTTCAGGGTAGCTTATTGAAACACACCTTTCAGTAACTGCCACTGACTATTAGCTGTGAAATTCTCATCATGCCTTCAATGTTACCCATTAGGTTTAGCCATTTGTACAGTTACAAGCTCAAGATGTTTCAAATATACCTCTAAAAACACTGTTAAGTCAGACTACACATATTCACAAAAACTGCATTCAGCCTGTCTGAGATTCAACCCAATACTGCTTCAAATTAATTACTCTTCTTTAATTGCTCTGTATAAACAGAAATGACCTATTCATTTAAAGAAAATCTATCAGCACACAATGTATTCTCTCTTATAAACAAGCAAGATGAACTTGACCTTGTTTGAACTTGTTTTGATGTGGCCCAGATGGTAGGCTACATGCTTGAATAGCAGTCTAAAGCTGAGGAAAAACTCATATAGCAAGATCTAGATTTATAGCCTTTTGCAAATTCGTACCTTGTATTGTCCTTTCAGCATCTGTTCTGCCCCCGCTGCGGTCAGCTTCTATCTCTGGGGTCAGAGAGTCTAGAAACATAGAAAGGTAAGACTGACATATATTTCATTTGATTCTTATAGCCCTTTTTACAACCTGTTACTCCAATGCTGAATTACAATACAATCAACCTTTGTCAGTTTTTTTAATGTTGAACAATGACTGGAGGCCAGGACAATTTTTTGTTAGACTAGGAAGATTAATGAGTAATAGATTTTTCAAGCATAAAGAGGGGAGAAAAAGAGGAAGAAAAAAAATTGACTTCTCAAGTTAATAATATAAAATTGTCCTAGTTCGAACATTCTCTCCAGTGAGTTTATTTGCACATACTATATAAAGTAACAAAGCAATAAAGAGGTATCACTTGAATGAAGGAAAGAAAAGAGACTTTCTTTTTTTCCCCCTCCTATCATGTTATAAATTTCAATATAACAAAGTTCTTTTGGTACTTAAATTGAAAGTTAATGATACAGAGGCAAAAACTGGCTTCTTACCATTTAGGACCCTGAGACTATCTGTTGAAGTTGCCTGTTTCAGTGTTTGTTCTGCTTGCTCTCGTCGTTTAGTCTCAAATTCGAGTGCTTCCTGCAATTTCCTCTTTGCCTTCTTTTCCTTCTTTAGTCTTTTCTGAATTATTGCTAGGAAAAGAAAATAACATCAGTGTACTCAGATTTGGATCTGAAACTTGGCTGCACAATTACCTACTAAGAAATGCTACAACTGCAATCGTTCATATAAACCGATTAATTACACAATACCAATTTAAATTACTTGAAATTTGCTGGAATCACCCTGGGATATTCTAAGAACTACTGTTCTATACGATGATATTGAAAACTGTAAGTGCTATCAAGCAATAGCTCTTTTTTTTTTATAAACAGCTGAGAATCTATGAATGTTAAAATCAGAAAACCTTAGTACCAGCAATGAAATGTCCTTTTTGAATCATCTGGCATAGATAAGCCTCTGTCTCTGAAGGTGAGGTGTTTTTTTGGAATTGAGTCCACCATTTCTATCTGCCATAGCACACAGTTAATATACACACAGTGATGGAGTCCTTGCCTGCCTGCAGCTTCTCTCACACAAGAGGGGGATCTGTCTGCCTTGGGTGCCTGGGCAGGCCCCACCCTGCTGTGATCCTCATTTTTTGGGGAAAAGCCCTGAGAGTTTTAATTCCCCTCCAAGCTCTGCTTCCTGTATGCCATCTGACCTCTTACTGTCCAGTCTCTTCCCTATATTTATTTCTTTTCCACATTTCCCTTTTATCTTTGGCTTTTCTCTTTCTTGCTTTCTATCAGCTACTGTCCCATCAGCTAATTAACCCTGAAGAACTCACATCAAATCCTTTATGATGCTGGATCCCCCAGTCAAGTAAATATTACTATACTTTGTCAAATGTGAGGGAAAATATTAGGAAAGGAATTAGTATTTTAAAATTAAGCATATAAAGCCCTAATTTAGAAAAAATGTTTTCCTTGTATCTCTTCTGTTCAAACTGTGTAAGGAAAAGGATTGTAAGTTCAGGATGAAACTCCACAATTTTCTTCTCTATGTTACCAATGACTTACAAGCACAAAAGTAAGACTTGAAGGATCCCTAACTAAAGGAAGGTATCACAGGTTATGTTCCTGATGAAAAAGGAAAATGGGAACCAATTTTTCTACCCCATAAAAAACAAAGTTAGCCTCTGAAGGAATTATGTGAAGTTGTACAGCACAGCATTATCTCCCCCACCACACCCCAATCCTTCTCACATAGTACATTCAGGGGTTTCATGGATGTGCATGAAAAAAGCTTATTTGTCCTAAGATCTTCCTGAAGAGTCTGTTATTTTGACACTAATTAAAAAATCAGCTACTAAACTATTCACTAAAGAATTCATTACCTACATTAAAAAAATTATCCCTGCCAAACCCAAATACTAGGTGATGCTAGGTTTGCATGCCAAGATTTACCTAGCCCTCTATCTCACTCCAAAGTAACCTCTGGAACATCCTAGGGATAAATGCTGAAAAAGATAAAAATATACTTCCACCACTTCATAGTCCCCATGTACAGTAGACTGTGACTGTGGTATATTTCACAGAATGCAAATAATGGAACTTTTAAAGGGAACTGTCTTATTACTATTTAATTTATATGCTAAGAAGAACCACCTTTTGGTTGATCTTGGATATTTTGTGTTGCTATACAGAACTGTTCAGGCACAAAATTAACATAAGCACATATCCTGTAGTCAGAATAACTACATAATTTACATACAAGACTTTGGAATTTTAGTTCTTTCTCATTTTGTACTACACCAACTACTTCACAGGCTAATTACCTTATACCATCAAAGAACATCTAGCATCTATACAAAGACTAAACTAAATACATTTTGAATCATTGCATGGTTTTAATGTTTTCATTATAAGTACTTTGAAAGTGATTGCAATAAATGAGAAGGAAACATATGTTGCTTTCTGAATTAAAATGTCATCATGGCTGACACATTGTAGATGTGACTACAGCAGTCAGAGCCAGAATTAGCAAGCCCTTACTGTGTAGCTGCTCACAGAAGAGATATTATCCTACTTTCACCAGTTGATGAGACACATCCTACAGCCTTAGGAATCACTAATTGGAATATATACAAAGAAGGAAGGAAACAGTACAGTAAATACGCAGCTCTATAGAATATACAGTAGCAGCAGTGAATTTAATGTTCCAAAAAAAAGGCAAAAATATTCAGATGCAGCTACTAAAGAAAATGATATTTAACTTGTGTTAACATGATGAGCAAAAGATAAATAGATGTTGCCTAATGCTGCAGATCCCATTCAGCTAAGGAGTTTTGACCTGTATGTGAAACAGTGGTTTGTGTTTCTGTGCTGTAGCTTTTAAGTGTATTTCAGTATTTTCATATGGTATATCTTTACTTCAGGGATATGGTACACTTCTCCCATCTTGTTCATGCTTAAGACATGTGAAATTTTCTTTAAGATAAACTTGTTATCTAGAAAACTAATAATAGGTAAAGGCTCCTATGCATTTTTCTACCTTTAATTGAGGAATAAATTCTCACAATAATTACAATCTGGCCTTATTTTTTTCACTCTTACATCAATTTGTTCCTTTCAAAGAATAATCCATCACTTTTCTTTCTTTAGAACAGAAGTATCTACTGGTAGAGATAGTTATCCTCATTATAATTGCTTTACTGTATATCACCAATAACTGTTCAAATCTATTCCTCTTTGGTCTGACTCTTCCCGGTGCAACATCATCATTAGAGGGATACATATCCAAAAGCAGGTAATGCATCATGCTGAAAATAATATTGTCAATTATTTCAGTACCCTGAACAAAATAAGGGACTATCCCATACTCTTTTCTGACAACTCTGAGTGAAATTCATTTTGCTTAATTTTAGCTGATCAAAACATATGTGTCTAGTATAGTCGAGTCAATGATATTCCCTCGGGAGTTAAAGGGAAGAGAAACAAGTCTTCACAGTGCAATTGATGACCTATATGAGAACAGGATATACAAATCTCTTTCTTTATTGACCAGAAAGGGAACTTCTATTCATGTAAATAGAAGGTTTTAGATGGTAAAACTCGAGTAAGGTCAGATGGTTCCCCCACAACCTTTTGTACTGTGCATATGACTGCGTAACTCTAAAAAAGAATATATATTTGAGCAGTTGTGAGAAAGATTCAAAGAATAAACAAGCTCTTTTACCAAACTACTTCAGAAGTGTAAGTAGTACAATTGTACTGAGCAGAATGGACCAGCTGTGCACAAAGGGATGATGCACTGCACAGCTGTAATAATTGTTAATAGCTATTGTCTTAAAAATGTATTCTCAAAAGTTAAAAAAGGATAATTAATGATGTGATAGTCCTACCTTTGAATGGGTCAAGGCAGTAAACAGGATTACATTTTGTACTTACTGCTAGCGTGTTAGTTAAAGGTATAATGACATTGGTTGTGAAACCAATTGTTCTTAGGATTCTCTATTTAGGTGGTTCCCAGAAAATTAAACTGAATAAGAAGAGAGTTGTAACTCTAGCCCTGCAAAAATACACATCTGACTTGCTATGGTCTGAGTTAAACAGCGAGTCCCTGAGGTTAGCTGTCCCTTGAAAGTAATTAGACACTATTAAAGGGTGAGGCATACACAGACAGAAAAATGGATGCACAAAGAAAGATGGGAACATGCTCATAATCCAAACAGTTAATGCAAATCACTGTAAATAGTCTTGCCTTTACTATCAATGAAATTATTTAAAAATCTTTAACATGTATATGCTTTACAGTGTTAATGTTAGAAATGCTACTAATGGTCCTGCTTTATCAAGAACCTTAACTGTTCCTTCTACAAATATGCATTTTATCTACTATGCACTATAAAGGGCTTATATATTACTATCATCTTCATATTTATTACTTATGCCTAAATATGCAATATAAGAACACAGACGAGAGTTCCTAAAAACTTGCAGATTCTTAAATTGCATTAAGAAGCTATCCCTTATCATAATGATCACAACCTGTAAAATTCTGTAACAGCACCTATGGTATTTATAATCGCTTTTTTATTATTGATGTAACAAGCAATATTCAAGAAAAACATTGAGCAAAAGAAGGTCCTTGCTCCAAGTCTCATGAAGATCCTACAGAAAATCAGGCAGGTTATAAAACTTCTTGCATTGCAGTCAGCTGAGACACAACATGATGTAAGGGGGTAGTGTTTTGATCAAACACAAGTGTTTGATAAAAAATTATTTTTCCTAAGGAAATAAATAGCAAACTGCTTAATTAAAATACCTCTGTTCTTCTGCTCCACAGCCAACTGTTTTTCAAGTGTTTCCCTCAGTTCTCGTTCCCTGAAGAGCTCCATCTTCAGCTCTGTCTTTTCCAGTTGGACCTGTTTCTCTTGAGCTCTGGCATTGTCTATAGCAACCTTTAGTAGACCCTGTTCAAAGATAAAGTTGGATAACGTTTGAAACAATGTTAGAACAGCTGACATAATAACTAGCTACTGTTTTTTTCCCCTGATAGTCATATGAGATTCCAGAAATAAAATTATTATGTCACAGGATCAAAGCATCCCAATTATCAACAGTAATTTTTAACTGGAATTAATTTTAACAGATGGAAAAAAATCTGTAAAAAGCCACAAGTCAAGTCTTCCCAGAAAATGCAAACTCACATTTGACTATGATATAATTAATGTGAAAACGTAGAGGGATAGGTCTATTCCTTTCAAGAAAATTGAAAAAGAATTGGCAGTCTCACAATCACATCATACACAGAATTTAATCTCTAGTCCAACTCAAGTCAATGAAAATTAGCAAAGGGAGAAAGGTTCTTTTAAAGTCTTGCCATTTTGCTCCTCATAATTGTTAATTATTATTACTTTCAAATATTTTCATATTTCATAGAGTTTCCAAGAACGATAGGTACATTGGGATGCTAAGCAAAGGAGAGTCACAGAGCATGAAAATATCTCTGTTTAAAAAATCCATTACCTGATCTTGGATAATTATCTCACAGCAGAGAACGAAACACAATCATCTCTCAATTTCTTGACCTGAGAAAAATTCTGCCTTTTTTTCCTGTTTTTATTGTATCAGGAAATAATAATTCAGACTATTCTAAAGTTCTCTTGTGAATTTCAACTTCACACTCCCTTCTTCTTTTGCAAGGAAGTAGGATGATCCTGGCAGAGCTAACAGTGTAACAATAACAATAATAACAATAATAATAACTACATAGTTAGGACACTGAGATAGGGCATGGAAATGGAAGGAGAAATGGAATTGAAATAAATGAACATGGAAACGTCCTTTTAGATTTTCAAGAAGCCTGGCCACCAGGCTCTTAGGTCTACACATGAATCTCTCCTATTGAAGCTATCATAATAGAGCAGATAATTAAGCATGGATATGCATATATGAACCTCCAAGGATACAAAAATAACTCTCCTTTATCCTAGGCAAGACTCTTGATAACTTAACCATAGAGATAATTTGACCCAACAGAGATTTAATTACTGATATAAAGCAAAACAATGCCAACAAGAGAGACTGGAGAGTACTCCCCAATGGCTCTGCTAGGGAAGCATTAAGCTAACAGATACAAGGTTCACACTCAAGACCTGTAGTGCTACAGATATGAAACCATGACCCCCCACTCCAAAATAAGCTTCCTCACCCCTCAGGCACACTTCCTAAATTGGATTCTGGGCTGCATGTTTTTTTACTTTTTTTTTTTTTTAATATATCTCCAAAAAAAGGATTGGAAAAAGAAGTCATACTTGAGAAATAGAAAAAGTATTTTTCATGAGTGTTAGTCTGCATTTTTATCCCTCTAGTCTTCCCAGTATCAATGACTACTTTAAAATTTGTGTCCTTCAAACTCCTCTTTCAGTTCTGTTTTCAGAGCCTGTTATTTTCAGTATTCCTCATCCTCCTTCTTAACTAAATTGATGCCTCAGGTGTTGTCTTATTCAGAGCTTAATGCTTTGCAGCTCTATTACACTTGAATCTAATAAAGTCCACAGAAGCTAAAAGATCTCAACACCTTCTGATTGCAAGGCACAGATGGTCACCAAAATGATATATGCTACATAAGTATAGAACCATGTTTGGAAATATGGTAACAATGGTAACACAATAGGTGTTCTTACAAATATATTTAAAGTTTTAATAGTTTTCTTTCAAAGATCCAACTGCTATTCTAAAATGGCTAAATAACAAAGATATTTTGTGTTGAACGTTAAACCTGAATTACTACTAAAGTAAAAAAGAAAGCTAAATATAATGCTCTACATACATATGCAAAGCAAAATACAATCTATAATATTTTAAAGCCTTTACAATCTATTTTGTAGAAGTTAATTTGAATTCTGTTCCTTTCCCCTGCCATATTCTTCTACATTGATGCATTTGAAATACTAAGAAATTGAAGCAGAAGTTGTTTATCAATACCTGCTTCTGGCTTATGCTCTAGAATGTTTTAATCTCCTCCTATTAATCACTTACTGGAACATGTGATTCATCCAAATCATTAATAAACCAGATCAAGTAAAATTACATGAAAGGTATTTGTTGATGAAAAGTGTATTGCCTAGTAAGTTTAAAGCTGCAAACATCCTCCCCCCAAATTCTTACAATCCATCGTGTTTAACAATAAAATCAAGCTCCTCAAGCAACTGCCATCTTTACTCAATTCCACTACATTCATGTATATGTTTCTTCTTCATCAGGAACAAACAATTAGTAACAAATGAAAGAGATCATTACATCAAGTGCCCTTTTAGATAACCCCAATTAAAACTTTAGTTTAGCTGTATTTTAATTCTAAGATACCAAATTCTAATTTTCTGCTCTGATTGCTCTTGTTGACTTATCTTTGAAAGATGTACTCTCAGTGCAAAGCGTAGAGATTATTTAGCAAGATGCCAATGTTGGCATCGCTTAATGTGTTGATTGGTTGTATTATCAGTAGCAGTTTAAAATAAATTACTATTAAACTATTATTGTCCTTGGCTGACAAAACACAATATTTTGGTGTTCTTTAAATATGAAACAATCATTATGAATAAACATGGAGAAGAACACTAGAGTGTAACACTGATGTGTGTAATTTTATATTAAGAATTGCTGCAAAGTACGAAGCTGCTAAAAGCATATTACATTTTCTATTGAATTTCTGCACCACACTTCCTCTCCCAGCCTTTCCTTTTTTTATACTTGCTAACATAGCTAATGGTAATACATTACCTATTGCTGGTGATTATGTCTGAAAAATATTAGCTTTTTGGAGTCAAGATCCACTAGGGACTACTTATAAGCTACACAAAATTAAGTTTCATTTTTAGAAGTTAAATCAGTGCACATCAGTAGGTATGCAATGTGAAAAAAAATTTGGCACTAGAGCCAAACTGATGCATATCAAAAGTGCTGTTGCTGCCAATGACAGCTCTAATGCAAAAATACTGAAACATTCAGTATCTCCCTTTATTCAATGCAGAAGGGGCTGAGAAAAACTAAAAGGTGCAGCTAAAAAATTATCAGTGCCCCTTGGAACAGGAATAGCAATTTCAGAGTTGCATGAAACTCTATTAATTATTCCACTGGATCATCTGGAAAAGATTACACAAAATACAGTATGTCCAACTTGTATGTGCTATGGCTAATCCTCTAACCTGACATTAAATCAATATGCTGCCAATGACAATGGGAAATGCAGTGCAACACAGGACATTAGCAAAACTGAAATATTTCCCTTTAGGGAAGGTCAGATGTTATGGAGGCTGGATAATGATAATTGTAGCGAACACGCTCAGGTTCCAGATTTGGTTTTAACACAGAATGACTCTATCTGGAGCCAGGCTTTAAGCACAGCATGTCATTCTTCTCCTCAGTGTCACTCTTGACAATTTTTATTTAATGTAATGCCAAAAATAGACATTTTTCCCCCCTGGAGATTCATAAGTCATTCTGATTTGGTTTGTTTACTTTACTGTACTTGTTTTAGTAATTTCCACTGATAAATTCTTTAAAAATGTCCCAAATATAAAGCTGATTTATGACTTTCTTCCCATTCTTTCATGTATCCAAAAAAATCATCATGTTAAGGCAGTCTAATGATCCTACAGAGATTAAATATATATCAAACCTCAGTCTTAAAACCAGTATTACCTATCATTATTTTTAAACTATGCAAATAATGTGTTGCCTACTTTGAAAGGGGTGAAGGGGAAGGTATATTGAAGCTCCTTCTCTTTCTCACTGCATCTAGGTGTATGTTCCACCTAACTGAATTTTGTTAGCTACAGATTTATATGTGAGATCACAATGACCTTACTAATGAGTCTGACAGTGTATCCAGAAGATCATATCTTGTTTCCAACAAGTGCCCACATTGAGTGAAAAAAGAAAACTAGAAGAACAAGGCATGCACACAGTGAAGCTTTCCTAGTCACACCTCCTGGCTTCCAGAGGGTTGTAGCTCAGAGGCTTCCCATTGCAACATTAACTATTCATGGTAAAACCACTTTCAAATACTATTGCTTCTCTTTTAACCAGGAAAATATATATAATTTGTATGCTCTCATCATTAAAACAAACTATAGAGTGAAAGGCTTTGCAAAAAATATAAATATATACTTTTTTTAATTAACTCCACAGGTTAATTTTTGAATATCCGCTATTTGTAACTGACTAGTGTGAGAGACTGAAATGGTTTGTGGCTTAAACCATCAGCAGGATACTTTGCTAAGAATGGGCAGAGTGGTTGCCCGGGTGCTGAGAGCATGCACACCCAATACCTCAGGCTACAAGCTGGGTGTTAAACAAGATGAGGAAATATGCAAACCCTGTGAAGCAGGACAAAAAAAATTTCTTCATTCTGATATGAAACACCAACAACTTGGCTTTAAGCTACATACCAGTGTATAATTCAAATAATATTTGAATCCGGTTCTACTGTACATAAAACAGACATTGTGACTACCAAATAGGAAATCTGTATAAAATTTGGTAATACTCTTTGAAGTCTATTCTTTGAAGACAGTACTGTAAGTGAAATGAGCTTATTTATAAAAGAAGTGCTTTTTGTAAATGCTTTTATGGGAGACACATTTCAAATAGCTTTACATATCATTTCCACCTTGGCACTCCAGCAATTTAAAATAACTATTTATTAAAGAATTGTTTCTCTGTTTAGTAAATGAGATAAAGTTAAACAGTAAGATACATTTCATTAGCCTGTAATAAAAAGAACATTGAAGACAAATGTTGTTAAACATATCAATGTAATTTACAATGAATTTTCTGCTGTGGTTTAATATACAATCTGTATTTTTATGTGCTGTATCTGACAGCTTCTAAATTCATTTGTTTGCCGTTGTTCCTTTAAAACCTAAATTACTAGAAAGTTTCAGTAAATGAGTTGATCCAAATAATCTTATGAACTGATTAAGCTAGAATTGGTTTTATTAATTCAGACAAATCTGCAACTGGCTCCTCTCCATCCCTTTAAGCTGATCTACAAAAAGGCCTACCTGGATGTTAGTCAGAAGGGTCTCTATGGAGGACAATCCATCAGGGAATAAAAAAGGAGATGGAAAACCCGGAGGTAGTGGTTGCCCATGCCCAGTTAGAGAAAGTTTGTCAAGGCTGTCTCTTGCGGTTGGTGTGGAGAGCGGGGTCTCATCTGTATGTGATTGAAACAAAAATATAGAACAAGTTACGCTTGTCTGTTTTTATTAGACCTCAGTAATGGCTTCCCTAGTGGTTTCCAGAACATTTATTGCAAATTGGTTCCTGCTATCAGGAGAAAATGCTTTCTGCTGAATTTTCTTTAATGAAAAAGCTGTGGAGATACAACAAGATAACATTAATGAGTAACTTTATAAGCCTTTTAAATGCAGTCTCTAATGAGACTGAGTTTACAGTGCCATAGAATCTTTTTAAAACAAATATTATCTCACATATACTTGTGATAATATATTCAGGCTGACTTTATGGGCACCTTCCCAATTATCTCATTTTAGTTTGTGTTCTATTTGGATTGACAATAGAAGATTTTCTAGCGTGACATATATTTTGTATATGAGAAGTCTTTGAATACGAGGCTTCCCATACAATTAACCCTTCCCACTCTTAATGGTTTCACTTACAGCTCAGAAGACTTTGCAACACCAAGAAAAACTGCAGTTCCCCAATACATTTTTCATTAAGAAAGTACACCTGATTCCCACAATTAAAACATGTCTGAACAACACATGAAATTAACAGTGTGGTAACAATCACTGGCCTAATTTTTTTAAGCACAGACATCTTCTAATAATTAGTGCTAAACTCCTTAGTAGGATTTTTGTCACAATCAGATCTGATCAGTTCTGACATCACAACAGAAAAAACCTCCCACAGTTTGAAGACTTCTAAGATTAAAGTTTCACAGATAATCTGTGAATGGATTAAGAAATGGAAAAAAAAAGACAGAAAAACCTCATGACTAATAGAAACTTCAATACCCTGGTTGGTGGGGTTTGGGGGGATTTTTTTGTTTTCTGTGGGGTTTTTTGTTTGGTTGGTTTGGATTCTGAAATATTTTTAGACTACTGTTGATAGGATACAGAAATTTAGGTCAATTTCTTTGCACTAGATGTTAACCTGAATTCGTCAAAAGGAAAACTACCTATACATATATAGAGATACATATATGCATACATACCCTTCTTACCAAGGGCTCAGTCATTAACTGTCACATATTGACGTATCTCAGTACAATACAAGGACATCAGAATGTACTCGAGGTATTATGAAGATCTTTGCACAGCTATTTGACTACAAAGCACTTTGTCAGACTTGCTTTTTTCCATTTGAGCTTTGATCACGGTAAAGTATATATGTTTTGGGGAAGTTTATTTTCTTTTTATTTATTTATTTAATTATAGTTTCAATAGTAGTCGTATTTCCCTATTTATTCTACCTTGTACATTAGAATTGTATATGAAAGTTGATGCTAGTTGCCTAAAAAGAGCTTTCCCTTGGACTGAGTGCAGTATTTTCCTAAGTGGACATAGTCTAGGCCCACGAAAACTGAAATATTCAGTAACAAAGGGTTGATGACCTCAGGACAAGAAAACCATAACCTGAAGTCCCAGTTTATTCCAACAGTCCCCATCACCATTGCTCCAGAAGGAAGCAATCTCTATCAGCCACGCTCAGGTGCAGATTTCTTGCCCCATCTCTCATCAGTTCTGTCATGCTGGCCAGTATTTATAGTGCTGACGTAAAAGCCTCTCTCACTATGTCCTTCTAGAGAAATACCAAAACAGGAATTAGGATATCTGCTTCTGGGCTGGTCCCACTGAACTCTTTCTGTGGTCAGTGGGAAGAAGCAGACACTATCAGTTTAAGATTCAGAAATCTTCCGAACTCTCATAGGCATCTGCTGCAAGAAGAGGCAAATCTTTCTCTACAAGAGTCTTTTCACTGTAAGAGAGACCTAAGATGACTACCTCAGATGGAAAGATCTGCTTTTGGTGAGATCGCTCCTAACATGGATGCTGTTCTTCCTACTTCACCATGGCTCAGGTTGAGAGTAGTCTACACCAGGAGTAAGACCCTGTTCCATATCCCCCATTTGTCACAACTCATGCCAAAATGACTCTCATAAAGTCACCATTTAAAAGCTTTCCAAGGTAAGTTTACTGAAAGGAGCTGATGTTGACCAAGGAAAGCTTCATTCCATTCAGAATCATAAAGGATTTTTTCAGCTATATTTAAGTTTTCCAGTTATGTTGCAAAGTGCCTGGAAAAATACTGGCTCTAGATTACTGAACCATTTCCTATCTACCTTACTAAGATTCGAAGCAGGCTCTGAAAATGTACTTTGTGGATGCATCTGCTGTCCTTGTGCTACCCCACAGCAGCATGGATAGCTCTGTAGTAATTTTGTAGTAACATAGTAAAATTTAGCCAAATACGATTTTCTTCTTTCCAACTTTTAAAATATTATAGAAATATTCACCACTTCATTAGAAATAATAAATTAGGTATTCCTGGGTATTGAAAACTAGCTTAGTTCAACTTCTCAAATCCTATTCTAGTGTGAAAAATCATTACCAAATGTTTTTTCCAAACTGCTGTTAGAATTGTTAAGCTTTCATTAATCAAAAGAAGAAAGTCAAAACTTAAACAAAGCTGGGTAGATAATAGATTGATAAACACTACACAATATTATTGCATAGCTGAAATTTTTTTTCCTCTGCTGAAAATATGGCTTTCCCAAATGATTTCTACCCAAAATTAAAAAAAAAAAGGAGAGAAAATAAAAAATTGAAAAGCCTCTTCTGTGTTATATCACTAAGTTTTTTTGGCTAAAGATTTCTTTATTCTTTATATCAGTGGTTCCAGTGAAGGTATTGCTCTTGCATGGTATAGCAAGAAAGAGTCAAATCACTAGTATGCATAGTGAAGTCGATTCATATAAATGAGAAAGAAAACTGGAAATATGTCATTTTCCTCTAGGTTTGGCAGCAAAATGGACCAAGGACCTCTCATACTTTCTAAGACTACTTGGAATCTTACTGATATTTTAGGTCTTAAACGATCAAAATATTTTAATATTTTTATATATTAGATAAAACTGACCCACTTCAAAATTCCATAAGTATTAATTAATTAAAAAACTGCTCTTCCATGCAATTGTTGAGATATAGAAAGCTCCAACACAGGCCTTGTCATAGAATTTAAGCAAGGGATCAATTTTTTTTACTGTATTACTACTTTACAATTTATTTAATTCTAAGCTTGCTGTACTTTGTGCATGCTCAAAATGTTAAGTTTGCAAAGACTTTTTTAACAATGTGTGGTATGGTTTCGCAATTGGCAAAGTAAATCAAAAAGGGTTAGAATGATATGAATTCAAAATAACATCCAAACTCTTATGTTACAATAAATAACAGAAACAGATTTACACTGAAGAGTAAGACTAGAGAGATGAACTTACTGTGAACTTATTTTAATGAAAGGTCAACTCAGAAAATAAAGTCAGACTAATGTGACTTTGTTTTCTTGATGTCCCATGTGAAATAAACTTTGAGTGTGAGTATGTTTGAAACAGAGCAAATGTACATATTATACACAGGAAGCATGGATATTTGTGGATCTGAGATAAGAGATGATTGAGGGAATCTTGAAAAAATGCATATTAAAGAAAAACCACATTGTAAACACAGCCAATTAAAACATAACCACATATCTTAGTAGCAAAATAATATGACCTCTTGTCTTTAAAACTTTTAAAAATATTTCATTCCTGCACAAATCCTCTTTCCTCAATAGGATGAGATATTTTCGTTTCCATTAGCCTAACATCTTTTAAACTGCTGCAGAGAAACTACTAATGTTCCTCTTAACCTATTAGCAGAGCAATGCTGCAAAATGATGAGCCCTTGCTGGGAAACAGAGATTTGGTATTTTCAGCCTAAACACATCAAAGGAAGTGTTGGAAGACAAGTCAGGGCAAAAGGGGAAATAGGGTCAGCCTACAACTCCATTGTCAGAGTGGGGAGCACAACAATGAAGAGAAAGGGGGGAAAAAAGAAAGAACAAGGCAGAACAAAGAAGTGTTCAGGCCTGCCTTGGCTTGTGCTGGGAACTGAGATGTTATAAATTAACAAATAAACAAGGATAGGACAAGCTGTTACCCAAACCTCTACAGTGTCTGGGCAGAGATGAATATGTGTCCTGACATATGAACTAAATCACCATAATAGGCAAGTCTGAATGCAACACGTACCTTTAAAATATTTGTAAATGCTACAACCACTACATCCATTGTTCCTCAATTTCCAAAATTCACCTGGTTTTGTTCAAACCAGATTTTATCTGTAAACAGCACCTGGTTTGGGCCAAATGCAACAAACATATTTCACTGTGTTTGGTTTGTTGCCATTCTATTTTATTCTTTCACCAGATAACATGGAACCAGACATCCTGGAAGCTGTGACAGCTATTTAAACAATAACAGATGAATAGAGGCAGCTATTCTCTTGTCTTTATTCCTAAAAGCAAGTAGGATAAGTTCAGATCAGCCACCAATCAAACTGGAGAATATTGATATTGTCAGGATTTGAAAGTAAGTCATAATAGCTGACTCAAAAAAAACCAACAAAAAAACCAAAACCAAACCCTATACAGATTACTGCCATTCTGTAATCATTTAATGTTTTTTTTTTGTAATGCATCTTGATGCTTTTCTGTTCTCTGCAAAATATTTCACGTGTATTTGTTCCTAACACAGGCTCACTCTTACCATTTGAGTGATGAAAGAGGATTCTGTTTCCACTTTTTACTACCATAAATCTGATGCATACATTTTTTTCTGCATTGTAGAAACAATCTATTCCATTTGGCTTAATATGATTTTGGCTTATGTTGTCAAACACTGTTCAGTACAAAGCTTTATATTTCACCTTTCTCAGAGATAGAAGTTTCAAGTCTGAGAAACTCTTCTACTTCAATTGAACTTTAAATGTGGATTTATACTAACACAAAAGAACAAGGGATCCCATGTCCTGAACTGAACTGATTACTAACTTCAGGCAAATTTTAAATACATACATACATACATACATACATACATACATACATACATAAATAGAATCCTCTTGCCCAATTCCCATATCATTTGGTTGCTTT